GAAAATTCATGTACATTTTCCTATGGATCAGTACATCGCATATCTTGCTCTTATAGCGATATTTGTTTTATCACTGCACTCTCATGCGATGAGCTGCTGCGCTCAAGATAATATGAGATAAAGAAATATTGGAAGATTTTGCTGAAGAATCGCCGTTTCTACTCTTCCATCATGCAAGATAATCCTTAACTGTAGACGTGCGGTGAAGTAGAAATCTGTCTACATAATTATGCCTAATTAATTAAGTAGAAAACTATTTAATTAATCTGACGTTGAAATGCCGTATCATTATTTATTATTATGTTTCAACTTATTATGCTTTAGCGATATTATCAAATTAATATATTTTAATGATTTGAATTTTTGTTCGCGAAGATTTTTAATTTATATGAAAGAGACACACGATAAAAAACATTTTGTATTTGTCTTAAAATTGGTTTTTGTTAAAATTTTGGGTCGAATTTTTAACTTATTCGACTCAATATAACGCAATGTGATTGTTACTTGAATATTTTATGTTAAATTGATGTTCAACATACTCTTTAGTATTAAAATAACAATTTATGATTTAATGAACAAATAACAAAAAATTACCGTATTTTGAAACGTAAATTCTAAAATAAATAAAGAAAATGTGTTAACATACACACACACAAGTTTGCTGAATAAATATGCTTTTACAATTTACTTTCCAATTGTGTCAGTGTTACATTTTTGTTACTTCCTAACATATTCGTTTTGTATTAACTAAATGATTTGGGTAGACGTTTGGAACATGTAAAGTATGTTAGAAATACAAATTTTTGTATGCAATTTTTGCAGGTTATGTCAAATCTGTTACTTAATTCTTAATTAATATTTTTTTACATTGACTTTTTTCGTCGTTGCGTCATTAAAAATGGACAATTTTCATGCATTAAAAAAAATCTGGTATTGTAAAATCATAAAATGATCTCTATACGCAGAGATACGTTGTAAGCATCGCAAACGCTGTGCATCGAGAGTATCTGGCGTTTTTTACTTGTACATTCACGTGTTATGGGCGATGTACGCATATACGTTACGTGTGAACTATTTTTCAAAATTCGTTGTATCTCCTGTGGGACTACACGCATATTTCACATATTTCCGTCGGTATTTATGCCGTGGCAAAAATTCAATGAGAGGTACGTGGACACGCGTTTAACCCTAAACCGGGTGTGACGATGCTCTGTGTACCATGAAACGCTATGCAGTTTATAAACGGGGAACAGCAATAATTGAATTGCATTTTAATACAGCAACAGATGCGGCGGCGCACGGTGGAAGCACAGAGATGCGAGATTCTTTATGGCGGATCGTTTTAGCGAGGAATGTTATTCGGGACATTAATGAGCTGACGCACTCCGTTGGAAATTGCATTTGGAAATCCCCTTCGGGATTCGATCGTGGCGCGAGCATTCCATTCTACGGCTGTAACGGCGGTCTTCTGGCCGTGTTCCGGGGTGTCCGGGCTCGCGCGGAAGGGGCGCGAAGGGCTGTTTTATGCAGGCCTTGGATTTTATGCAATGAGACTGCAATATCAAACGGCGCGCGAGCGGAGTGCCGTTGAATAAAATATCCGGTACTGTTGAGGAAAAAAGCACGAGACGAGCGGGTGGGATAGGAAAATGGGACGAGGAACGGCCGCCAGACACATTTCGATTTCCCTATACCTGGCTGTGCTGCACAATGGATACACGGGGGCCGCGTAGTGCGATCGCGCGGAATCTCGCGGGTGCATTAAAGTGCGCCGCCTCATATTCCCCACCGATCGTTGCTGTAATTTATTACACGCGCGATCGCTACTCGCCGTCCCGTTGTTTCTTTGTTTATTGAAACGCGGCCTCGATATTACTGTCGTTCGGTTTTTTAACCCATTCAACGCGAGTCTCCGAGTCTTCAGTCCTTCGAGAGAAAAGTCCTGAATTTTTCACGAGTCGTTTGCACACGACAGCACAGATGTCTCGCGAACTTTCTGAACAATTGCTGAATAAGTAGATCAGAATCGAGACAAGTGACGCGGTATATTTACATTTGGAAATTGTCGTCTCTCGTATGAGGCTCAATTCATTTCATGACGTTCTTCTATCGACCTATCATCGTACGAAATTGTTTTCGTCGCTTCGTACAATTATTTCTGAATTAGCAGAACCCGGCAGGTTTAAAAGCGCGATTTACGCTATAAATGAAATGTCATCTAATTATAACGTATCGTGTGTTTTATCCGCATAATTAATATGAAATTTACATGCCCAGTTATTGGTTCATTTCAACGGTTATGCCGACAATATTCCCTCTCTATTGTTTACTGTACAGTCACTGTGTTTAGCAACTCGGTCAACTTATACGCGAACGAATAATCTCGTTTGACGTCACCGAGTGAAAAAATGAAACAGTGTGCAAAAGCAGTTGAGTGCAAAGACAGGGTATTGTGAAGTAGAAAGGGATGGGAGAGAGAGAGAGAGACTTCGAAACTTAGATTGGTGTCACGTGGCTCTCGGCGATCTGAAAGTAAGAGACGGGAGGGATGCAGAGAGTGCAGAGGGTAGAGATAGACAGAGAAAGGGAGAGAGACGGGAACGCTGTAACAGCACGATTCGAGGCGGCTTAACCGGTAAATCCGAGGTAAGACCCTTCGCGAAATCTCTATTTCCGCGAACGCCATGTTTCCACGGCGTTCTATCGTAGCCGCCGGAAGTACTCTTCCGCCTCTCCCCGGTCTCCAGCTGATTCTAAAAGCCGGGACTACTTGCGTCGCGGGCGCGTGTCTGCCATGTAAATCTTAAAGGATTACGCTCATAATTGCCTGCGTCGCCGCGTAATTGAAGAGCACTTAGACCGGCTCAGAACCGACGTGATACGTGACTACCTCGCATCGGGATCGAAGATCCTGCCGAAACGATTCCGTCATGGATTCTCTCGTGTGACGCGCGAACGTCGCAAAACGCTATGGACGTCTCACATTAAATAGAATGCAGGAATATCGTGGTATATGTGACGTTAACTATTGATTTGTGAATGTGATATATTCGTATCTTCAGTCTTGCAAGTATATAGAAAGGCAATAAAGATTTTAACGAGGAAACATCAGTTGCTTTCAATAAAAAAAAATTTCTTTTTTAGACATTAATATTGATTTCTACTTAAAAAAACCTATTTTGATTATTCACGTTTAGATTTTTTATTAAAATACTGAAATGTCATATCACATGTGTATTTAATTGAGTACACATTAAATATCAAAGAAGCAATAGTAATCCAATCCTCTGAATTAAACAACATGTTGTTATTTTTAACTTCTATGTGTGTCAAAATGCAAAATCAATTCATTGTCGTCGTGGTTTTAAGTAAAACAAAGAAGTTTTAAAATAAACACTGTCTATATTCACTTATGCTCTTATATACTTTATTATTTACTTAGTGAATAATAAACTATTTTGAGTCAAATTCAATACATTTTCTTTACTTAAATTGACTCTATTATTTTAATTATATTGATGATATATTGAGTAGAAGTAATGACGATATATAAAAATGAATCAAATATATTAATTTAAATTGTATATAATTTGACATTATGAATTTAATAGTGTTGTGGGTCCAAGATAGTACGCGCAGATCAAAATTCATAAATATTTTGAAAAACATTATTGTAGGTCCTGTAGCAATTTATGCTTATTTTATAAAAGTTACGCATAAAATAGTGTAGCGTCAGAAGACCGTGTGACAATCAAAGTGTTGACCTTTAGTACACATAACGATATATTCCGATCCTTTGTTACACACAATGAAGCTTTAGTATCTGGAAATTAAGTTTTGTCACTTTTGCAAGTATATAAAATAAAAAAAAAAGTTATTAAATAGTTTTTAAAATATATTTTATCATCTTTACAAAGTTTTTTTTTCTTTTTCAAGAAAATTTGTGTCGTTCTTGACTTTATTGCTTACATGTGGAATATTGTACTATTTTGTTAGTCAGACAATTTGGATATCATACACTAATTGAGAATTAATCGATTAATTCTTTTTTTGTTAACTAATATTGCGATAGTTGTGACTTTTAAAGTTACACGTATAAATAATTTAAAAAATCTCGTTATAGATTATCGCTATGTTGCTATATTATGTGAAGAGTATAATTATTATTTAATTGATTGTTGCTTTGCTCTTGGATCTTTGATATCAAGGTAATTAATCCCAAATTCTGGCACGCTCTCAATCACGGCTTTATTAATTAATGCAATCGTAATCATGCAATCTTTGACGCAGCTCGTCAACTTTCGCGCGATCCGATCTACGTCCAAACTTAGTCAGGCTCTTGGTACAAGAGCCTAACCTCGTGATACTGTCGGGCTTAATGGATTAATTTTGTAATTGAGTGGTTTGTATAATTGAGGCACACACACAACTACGCAGCTATGACCAGTGACGGGGATGATTTGGGAGTTTGCGACAAAATTTTAACCGAACTTTTGGACACTTTCGCTGTGTCGAGAGAGTTTCGGGACTGTGTTCGGAAATGTCAACAGTGCGTTACCGGTTTATGGAAAAGTTGGGATACGAAACTATTCCGGGCTTTTGTCGGAAGCTTCCATCGGCGCTTTGTAGTATCACAATCGATTGGCGTTTCAGTGATTTAGCGATGAAGTGACAAGTCTGTTAGTCGATACGGTCGCGGCGAATATTTTCCGTGCGTATAAAACTTTAGCAGCTGTTATTTTAAACGAATTTTGCGGTATCACTAACAGTTGGAATTTTAAATGTTAAATTTTTTGTTTCTTACTTTTAATTTGTCAAGTTAATTTAGAGAGATATTTGTCAGTTTTTAATTTTATACAGTCTGCAATATTCGATAATGTCTTTGGGTAGCTCTATATAGTATTTAGTTGAAAAAGTTACTGACAAGTTTGGGAGGACATTTTTTCAAATTTAAGTTTTGAAATATCTTTCAACATTTTTCTTTTTTTTTTGTGTTTTAGGTAGGTCTAATAGGCAATAGAATTGATCTGTGTTCGATACGTCGACGGAAAATACGTGTGAAGAATTTAGACAGTATGATGATGACAAATCTACCCCCTGTTATGCTGCCACCCATTACGGACTACGGGATGCTGACGCCTACTCTCGGAATAAAGGTGAGTTGATTTACCCTCCGGTAACCTCGACGAAGAACTGAGTTTCGCGATTGTACATAAATACAATCAAATATTACTTACGCAATTTTATTGATATCTTGATCATACGACTATTATTTAGACGAAGTATCGGCGTATATTCGAAAAGAACAATTTTACTGAAAGATATAAAATTTTAGTGGACACAGATCTGAAAATAATTTAGTTGAAATAATTAATGGAAACTAAAAAATGATGAGCAATACTGCGAAAAATTTTAATATTCTGTCAACCATTTTGAGTTTCCAATAAAATTATTTTAATGGTGTGTGTGTGTGTGTATAGCAAAATTAGTTTTAAATCTGTATTCAGTAAAATTTTAAATCTTTTAGCAAAATCGTTCTTTCCGTATAAAATATACAAAATGTATAAAATAATCTTTCGTATAAAAATATATAAATAAAACGCGAAAAATCTTGAGTTTAGGCCATGTAAAAGCATTATTGAAAAACAGAGCTCGACAAGCTGACTACACAATCGCCGCGGGCTATTTTAGTGATGATTGTAAACAGTTTTATCCGAAAGGGTCTGTTCTCGCTTCTCTATGATTTTTTTCTCGGAGCAATTGGTACGTGTTACTACCGATATAAAAGCACTCCTGGAGGGTCTTTCGAGCACCGGGTATCGCCTTTTATCCCTCGGCTTTTACAGCATCACGCTGCACTCTTGTGTGAGCACCCTACAAGAGAAGAGCCGCGAGATATTAATTAAAATTCCTCCCGAAATACTTCCAACACAGAAAGGTGAGCGCGGTGTATTGGCTAACCGGCGGAATGGGGGTTGCACCGGCGTGTCTAATTTACTGGGCGATCTTCCACGTTTTGAAATAAATAAGCAATAACAGTCATCAACATTCTGTTATTTTACTTATGTACGTCAACTTCGCGATAATAGTTGCATTCGTAATAGCGCAAGTGAGGGGTGCAGTTAAAATGTTAACATCTTAACATGGATGGTGAAAAATTGATTAAAATTAAAAATAATAAAATAAATCTGTACAATTGTATAAAGAAGAGAAAATAAGATGTAATATTAAATTAAATATGTGCAAAACGTACTGTTACTTTTATACAGTCTTACAGTAAAATTGATTCTTTATGAAGTATTCGTATTGTATTTTGTGGAGAATATAATTTTTTATAATCTACAATAAGATTATATTTTTATAGAACAATAGGATTTTTTTAAATAAAATAAAACATGAAATTGCATATGCGTTTGCCATTTGATCAGAATAAAAGATCACAGAGATTGGATTTTCTGTGTAAGAGAAATAGTCAATTCGTTTTCACATTTCCGATATACTAAGCGGTGAAAAAGCGAGGTAATAATCGGCCGTACGGTGAATTCTACCGATCGTCAAGCGCGCACGTGCGTATACGTTGTTAACGCGCGACTGCAAATTTTCCGGAATTTCATTGCCCACTTCCTTGCGTTGTTTACAACTGCAACCGCATTATATTACCGATGCTTAGCGATTTTGCCCTGTTGCGTTTTACAATTCATCGTTTCAATTTGTAAACGTTATTAGTTATTAGTTTGCCAATCGTGAAAACCCGACGTAAATCTACTTGAATAAACTTGGGCCGTTCTTGTGTTCATGAAAAATTTCTTCTATCGAGTGTAGATCGACAAGTAAAATAATTTAATGAAATCGGTGGGGGCGGTATATATGGTCTATAAGGTAACTCAGAATTCTTTTAGATATGAAACAAAAATAAGGAAAATTCTGTCTGAGATGTAACTCTGTCTGAAATGTTACGGAAAAATCGTGAAAGGTGGGATCTTATTACACAGATAACTCGTGCAACTTATCTTCGTTGTCGCGAAAGGATGCGTTCTGTTTTCCTTTACGAATATAGGAAGGAGCCTCTCAAGCGAATCGACGAGGCGTGCTTTCAACGACAGGTAGTTAGCGATTGAAAGAATCCGGGATACTCTTTGCGTTATTCTCGATTCTTTCTCTTCGTGCTATGCCATTGTATTTTCCAAGTTATCGTATTTCCCGGTGGCTACTTTTAACTTTAATTAAACTATATTTCCAGGAAAAAATAACTGAATAGAATATAGAATTACCGCGCTTGTGCGGCATAAATGTCATTTCCATCGTAAAAGTAAGTAAAAATTGCCCTTGAAATTAACTGGGTATTATATTACTATACTTGCACTTTTTTTTACGGTTCACCGTTTTGATCATCTCTCTCTCGAAAAGAAGTCGACTTCATGTTCGAGAAGCAACTGTATATAGGTTGGATAAAAGATATTATAAACTTCGATATTGAAAATATCCTTCGTAACTCATCCTCTGGTAGTTGAGAAAAGTGGAGATAGTTTTGCGACACGTTGTATAAGGTTTTTAAGAGTTCAATGCAAAGAAGTTTGTCGGCTCGTCGCGGGAAGTATGCAACGCGCAGATTCATGTCGGATAAGGGAGAGAAAAGAGGGTGTTTTCGGGCTGCCGGCAAAGAAGCGCTTTTATAGAAGCGTCGCGAACAAAAAGCTGAATAACATTAACTCGCTTAATGTATTCCCTTAATTTTAATACACAATGCCCGTCGGTACGAGACCTCCGAGCCATGTTCTCGCAGCTAACCACCGGTGAAGATTCTTACCGCCGTTAAATCTCCACATCTTAATCTTTTTATCTGATTAATATTTATGTTTTATCAACATCAGTCTCGCTTTTAGATTACAGAACGATATCACGATATTTATTATAACTGTCATGACACAAAACTCTAAAGCCATAAAAAATTAATTAAAAATTTATACTGTTATAATTGTTCCTTTTGTGTGTGTTAAGTATCTTTAATCTTTATGATGATTTAGCATCTTCTTTGAACTGTAATTATTTGGATCCTTCTTGTCACTAATTACTTTAGATCAGTACACAGAAAAAATGATATATTAATGCAGCTTTAGTTTACAGCAGTATAATGGAAAGTAATTGTTTATTCAATAGTATTAATAAATTATTCAAAAATATTAGAATACAGGAGTTTATTTTTAACATCTTACAATTTTTCTTAACAATTTTCCTAATTATTTTCAATTAGATACTATACTGTCGGTTAATGCCGTTAGTATAGGCATCTTCTTTTTCCATGTACGATTCTCAGCGTATCGCATCTCCTTTGCGTTTTCTCGTCGTCTCTGTTCGAAACATCACTAGCGAACGGACCCGCGGGGCCTCGCTTGATGTGTTTCACACAGCGAAGATTACGTTTAGGATCGATGTTCTGCGCATTACTTTGATCAGTTTCATGACCGTTCGACCAGAAGGACTTTTCATATACCAGCGGTACCTCCTTCCTCGCCTAAAGGCCGGCGTCGTTTCACAAAGCGTCCTCTCGAGTACACAGCGGGCCTGGTCGAGTCGAGCCGTATCGCATCCGCATCGCGACTCATCGTTTCCTCGCCGCCGCGGTGTTTTGTATATTTTCTTTGTGTTAATCGCGTCCAGGTCGGCCGATCCCGCGTACGCGCGGGATCCAGCCCCGCTCGAACTCCCGAGGCGCTCTGACGTCATTGGTATTATTTCCACTCGCGTCCCACCGTTCTCCGCCCACTTGTCAAACGCACGCATCGTGCGTGCGAGAGAACGAGAGAGCGAGCGAGCGAGCGACCGGGACGACTAACGCATTTCGGGACGATTTGATTGTTGCGGGGAGCGGCGAATTAATTTCCATTCGCGACGCAGCAGGTATATAACAGTGAATTTCGTCCATCTCCACAACCGCCCGCCGCGTTTATTAATAAACGTTACTCCTGGTATTTATTTCGCGCCGGAAGAGATATCGGCTAATTGATTAACAACGAGGAAGCGGCGTGTGCGATCCCGTAATAAATTCGCTTAATTTTCAAAACTCTGCATTCCCCATTCCCCTTAGCGCTTATTTATTACTCATCCTCTTTCTTTCTTTGTTTCCGCGTTCGTTGATTTGTCCGTTATTCATTGTAACGTAAGAATTCATACGCTACGTGTAATCAAGTCGAATTAATCTACGCCTATAGTGTACGTATCTCATGTGAGCATTAATTTCATTTGAAATTGTATTTCGAAATTTTCATCGCAATGATGCCCTTATCGAGTCCACGCGATTGCTCACTTGATCGTCCGTTTATGCATATACGCTTGTTGTACACGGACTGCACGACAAAACGAAGAGGACAGAAATGCGCATGAATATCCTGGCACCCTGTTGGTGACCTCGTCTCTTCGTTTGCATACACAAACAGTGGAATTAGGGCCGGACACGTCGCGTTGCATGCTCGATCGGAGGTCCTTTGCCCCCGGGAGCGCGTTATTGTCGTCTCGAGCAGGTTATTGTCGTCGAAACACGTCGGAACAATCGACAATATTGCCTGAAATTTGACGGGTCCTCGGGGTACCCGTTGGTAAACCACGTCTGCCACTCTCCCTTTCCGTTCGACTTCTTTCCACAGTTGAGTAAAGTACATTCTAAAAGAATATGGGTGTCTTCACATAGATGATGATTTTAAATCCCTGATTGTTTGTACGTATCAACGCCATCAAGGGTGTAGATTTAAAACTTGTAGTATTAAATCCATATCATGTTGTTGTTTATATCAACATCAATATAGGTACATGAGAATTATATAGACACCGCCTGGTGTTAAAAAATGGTTTTAAAACTCCTTATGTTTATATCAACGTCATTAAGGTGGATTTAAAACATATAGCGTTAAATGCCAAATAGACGTAAGAGATGAATAAATATCGAGAGAAACACTCTCTCGATTTAGAAGAAATCTGCGAATGATTCACGGATTAGGGACTTCTCGCGAAAAATTCCTCTGCGCGACGGGGGTTGATTTGAATTTTCTATGTCGGCTCAGTCTCACAGCGTCTCTCACCGTCACAAGACTCGTCGCATCGAATATTCCATAAATAAATCGACGTTTAATAGAAAACCGGAGAACTGCAAGGTACCTCATCG